GTTTGTTATTAAGTTAACCAAAAGTAACACTCAGTATATTATGATGATGTAAGATGCTTGATAGATAACGTGACTGCAACACTTAACATTTTGCTATGGCATGTGGACTGAATATCCTGTTGGAGTTGGACCTCTTGTAAGCTGAACTTGGGGATTCTTTTGTCTTCCCGGTATAACTTGATATTAGTTTCAGGATTTTATCTTCCAGGTGTCCATAGCAGTGGTGTTGATATGTCCTTCATCATAGCTGTAATGAGAAACGATTCACATTTCTAGTTGCTGTTGACTGATTGAGTGGATAATAGTTCAAGTCCACAATTTTACAGACCTGTTGCGGAGATTGATATATCCTTGCTGTTTTCAATTTGATTATGGATCCACAGGAATTTATGTTCGAGGAAGTTGCAATTGTTTACATCCATATTCCAGTTTCAGTCTGACAGTCAATTGGTTATGTGAAGCATCAGGTTACTTCTCTTCGGCCATAGCACTGTGAATTTATTTTCTTCTTCTCATATTTTCGGCCTACTGGCAACATTGTGATGGACCGATAGTACTTTGGTTCCGTGTCGGACCTACCTTCACAATCCTTTCAAGACTGGCAAACTCCCAATGGCCAATACGACAATTTCCTTAGATGATCTAGGTATTTTAATAATTTCTGTTAGTAACATTTATTAGCTGGACAACATTCCAACTGTACTCGCGTAGTGAATTATTTCTAATTTGAAGCAGTTTTTCATGAACGGTTTTGTTTTATGAGTGCACAGGAAGCTCTTGAAAATCCTTGATTTCCTTCTTCTCTACCGGAAGTAGGCAAGATGGGCACATCTTTTGCCATTTTCCTGCCAACCTTCGTGGGGTTTGATACCCACATTTTCGGCCATTCTAGACGGAGGGTGAGCATTTTTAGAGTCCACGAACCTAGTCAAGGTATTAAAATTGTTATAATTCCCACAGATTTATTGGCCTGTTCATGGCGGATGTCCTGTTGGGACGCCATCCTAGTTAATGAATTGAACCTCATTTTTTGAGCTCCTCTCGATCCCATCCTGAGCCATCCACGAAGCCAAGGGATGACTAGAAAGCCTCAACATCAAGTGAGCTGTTGAAAGCCACTGCTCATTTTGGGCTATTCTCTCGATCCCACCCTGTTGGAATTCCATGATGTCTAAGGATGACTAGGAAGCTCCAGGAGATCATTTTTTTCAACTGTACTATAACCAGGATTTGAAAGTTGGAGTTCACTGGCAGTATAAGACAGATCAGCATTACATGCTCTGCAGACACATGAGGTCAGATCCATTTTGATTATCCTTGTATTGTTCCTGATGATGCAGTAGTGCACAGCACCAAGTTACCATTAAAACCTCACTACTCGTAAGTACATATTCAAAATGTATGCTTGAAATACCACTCAACTGAATACTTAATGAAAATTCAGTCATTTATGATGTGCACTGGAAATATAGGCCTATATAAAAGGAGAGTATTCTGAGGTATCTACATTTTTTTGTTCTGCTTAAGCACTTAACTTATATGACACTGATGAGATGATTTATAATTTTTCTGTTCAATAAGGTGTTGCCTGTCACATAAACCTTCTTTGACAAGCTGAAGAATATATCTGGTACAGTTATTTGATGTTTCGTTAGTTTCAAATTATATCTTCTGTATCAACTTTTCTTAGTTTTCCTACTATTGAAAACTGAGTGGAGCCTGGCAAACAAGGTCCCTAAGAATACTCTACTTCTTGAATCCACAGCCTGCTTCCAAACAACAGAGCTGCCTTGCCTATAACCCAACCACACACTATACCTTTTCAACTTCAATTTCGGAATCGGTAATATATATTTCGGAAAAAGTAATCTCGATTTCAGAATTGGTTAGTTCGATTTCAGAAATGGTAAATTCAATTTCAGAATCGGTGAGATGAATTTCAGAAAAAGTCCATTCAATTTCAGAAATGGTAGGTTCAATATCATGAAAAAATCCTTATATTTGTTCGAAATGTTCCCAATTGCATGTGAGATTAACAAACCATATTTAAAATGTTCAACTTTTCAAAAACAATTTAATCCACAGATGCCTTCCATCTGAATCGCTGGAAGATAGTGGCGTTGCACATGATTATAAGAATAGAAACACATTTGAGGTGTTATCATGTTCATTGAATGATCTGCACATTCTTCAAGACATCGCAGTCTGAATTCTATCTGGTTGAGCAATCTGTTCGGATCTCCAGCTATGACCCTTTGGCGATGCTCTTGCAAGAAGCTCTTCACTTCTGACTTGAAGGCACCCCATATACAGGCTGATTTTAAAATAAGTGCATATATTTTAAACACTAAGAAAGCTTGAGGTATACTACCGAATAGCACTATTAAAAATATTATTAGGATCAAAATAGATTTGGGGCAAAATACCCTTTTTCCGCCCAGATTTCTACTTCTGTCACAACTATCGTTTGCGATCCGCAGTCGACCGTGATGAACGAAGCGACGTTGCCACTCTACATGAAAATCAGGAGATATTAAATAAAATGTATAATCGAGAAAATGTACATGGGGAAGAAGTTAACCCTGGTCTTGAATTTCAGGAATATAATACAAAAACTTCAAAATGGACTCACCCAAGATTTCTACACATAAGCTCGGATAGCGTATAACTTAACACCTCACGGTTGGAAGTTATTTTACTGAAAAATCCTTTAGACCCTTCCTTCCACCTCCTTGTATCTCTACAATTTCGTGGTCTTCGAGGAGTCTCATGGGCCCCGCACAATAACGACCCGACATAAGAACCATATCATTCAGCTCAATGTTTGAGAAATGCATCGTCACATTCCAAGCAAATTGTCAGTCAGAAACAAAACTTTACATTTACTAGTATCACCTTTTGACGTTTTCCAAAATAACATACATTCTCAGAACAACAAACTGTCAAGAAAGGATCTTTGTTTTGATTGTTCTCATGGTGTGCTACCAGCAAGAATTCAGATGACCATGAATTACTAATAGGCGACTTTTACGGACCAATCAGAAACAGCAAAGTAGTGCCTGCGTGGTTGCGATTCATCCTGATTGGGCACAGGTGATTGAGATTAATGTATTAGTGAGGAAGGATCATACCTTCAAATGAAACTACCATTTTCATAAAAAACTAATTTGGAAAAAACAACAACTGTGTCCAATCAGGATGAATCGCAACCACGCAGGCGCTACTTTGCTGTTTCTGATTGGTCCGTAGAAATCACCTATTAGTAATTCATGGTCATCTGAATTCTTGCGTCCGAAACGGTCAGAAGCATACGCAGTTTCACAAAACTGTATGATTTTTTAGGTTCTGTGGACTTGTGCATGCTTCTGACGGTTTCGGAATGTTTATTTTCTGAACGCGAACAAGGTCACAGCAAACAGGAAATCTATGGTGACAGATACTACTGTTCTGAGAAATGATGTTGACAGATCATATGATGATAGTTTTGTTTGTGTGATTGCCACCAACAAGAACACAGGACGATATTAGTCTGGATTGGACTCGACAGTAGTATTTGTTTGCTCTCGGGAGTTTTGCTGTTCGAGCAGGTATGGTACTAGGTGAGTCGATTTTCAACTTTGTGTATGTTGTGTACCTATTTATTGTCTGCTAATTTTGTATCTACCCGCTGGGGCCTTATTTTCGAATTGAAGGAAGGGGGACGTTCTATCATTCCCCTCATGTTTCTCTCCGTCTCTCGTGATCCATGGAGATAATCACCCCACAGTTCTCTCAGTAAACTTTGAAAAATAAGGCTCCTGTTCATATTACATTCACCTCTATCAGTTTCCATAACCTATTCCAATTCATATTCATTCTGTGACACATTTTTATCAGGATATTCGTCTCTGAAACAATCTGGCATCACTGTCTTGTTTTGACATTAGTGAATGACGAATTGGGGATTTCCTGGGATTCCGCAGATTTCACTTGCTTCCCAGTGGCGTACTCGAATTTCGAAGCATTTTATGTTCAATTTTCAAAATGAAATTTCTCGTTATTGTGAAGACTTAGGAAAAATCAAATATTTTAGTAATTTTCGTTAGACTCTCTCATATATATGTTTTGAATATATGCACTCATTTTGAAATCAGCCTGTATTATGTTCAGTCTGATTCAACATAGCGCTCCCAAACACCGTTCCATCCACTTCTCTTTTGCAATTAAAAACATTTCAAACATATAAAAGGATTTTATCTTCTGAAATTGAACCTACCAATAATAATTCTGAAATACAACTTACCATTTCTGAAATTTAATGGACTTTTTCTGAAATTCATCTCACCGATTCTGAAATTGAGTTTACCATTTCTGAAATCGAACTAACCAATTCTGAAATCGAGATTACTTTTTCCGAAATAAAACTCACCGATTCCAAAATTGAAGTTGAAAAGGTATAGTCTTGCATTTTTCAATTTACTAAACAACATTCATAAAGTAGCAAGAAAGGGCTATACTACTCAAACATACGACAATAATAGGGGGAAGGGGTGTGATTGAAGAAAAGTTAGTGGTATGTGCAAAGGGGTGGTTTGTCGAGGGTGCCGTTTCAATAACTGATTTTTGTGCAACACACTTTCTCATTCAAGCCAGTTTTTGCAGAACATTGAAAGTATCACCCGTTTTAGAGAAAATGCGTACATAAAGAGAGTTGATACTATATCATATCATTCCTGGAATTTCCATGGGAAGCTGGATTGAAGAATAAATCACACATATAGTGCTCTCCTAGCATGGAGATGTCATAACAAAAAAAAACGGTGACGCCACTTCTCGCACAAGAATCATTCTGTATATATCAATTGAATCTGGAAAACTGCCCGAGAAAATAGAATTCCTCCCAATGGATAGTTTGGCTGGAAATGTAATTATTCACAACTTTTCGATAGCATTGTGAATAGTCTCGGAACATGCATATATCCAAATTGGAAACTGGATAGGAATAAGAGGTAGGAACTCACCATTTGTTTGTCCATATCCCCAGTCGAGTGCCATCCTGAAAATAAGAAGATATTTTCAGTGGATATGTATAAAACTAATAATATTTTTGAAATTCTTCGATTTTTTCAGATGGGTATACCATTTTACTTCAAGGGAATGAACCCTTGCCAAGATAATCTAGGTGGTTTCAAACATTTTCACTCTCTATATAAGTATTCAGGTAATTTGCCTACAACTCAATCCACCGGTTACTTCAAAAAATATCGATAATGTTGTTTCATTTGCTCATATTCTCATATTACCGAAGGAGTACATAATTCGATAAATTAGAACTTCCTTATAATTCAACAAAGGACCCCGCACGAGAACACGGAAAATTGGCTCTCGGTCGAATTGGCTGAAATTTTACTATATTATTGTGGGATGGCTCATTAGAATAATATGTGAGTTTAAAAAGTTTTGTATGTTTAGTTTCTGATATATAAGCCTACAAAGTTCGTAAAAACGTCGTATCGGGGTAGGATTGACAAAGAAAAAACAGTTTTTTTAGTATAAATGAAACAAAATAAGCTAGAAAATATATTCATCGGAACTCATAAACATGTCTAGTTATAATCACATGAATTATAGTAAATCAGGGTGTATACGCACGGTGTAGGCACGGTCAAAAAATTCATTTTTCGAAAAAAAAATCGAGCACTATTCCCAAACCAACAAGTTATATTTTGGTGGAATATTATAGTTTTAGTCTATTGTAGGCTTCAAAAACGTATTTTGATTCTTGATAACTATCTCTGTTCGAAATATGAATTTTTAGAATTTTGTGTTATATCCCTTTTTGAAAACAATTGACAGCTTGTTTTTGATCACAAAGAAAGGGATTGATTGATACTGTTGATTGAATGAAAGCTGAGGTAACTCACTAGCGAATTCAGTTGTTCAATATTGCCTTTCATTTAGATACAGCAGGGTGTGTTAGATTTTGTTGAAGATTATTTAACATGTTTCAATCGAATATCTCGAAAACAGTTCCGTTAATTCGGATCTCATTTCAAATATCAATTTTTTATAGTAATATCCGAGGTAATAACCCTATAATACCTGTAATACTGTAAACTCAAAAATGCATATCTCAGAAACGAAACATAAAGAATTGAAAAACTTTTTGCATATGACAGTCAACATATTCAAAATAGTGTGAGTAAAATGAGATCCAAATTGACGGAACTATTTTCGATATATTCAATTGAAACATTTTAAATAATCTTCAACAAAATCTAACACACCTTGTATCTTAATGAAAAGCAATATTGAACAACTGAATTCGCTAGTTAGTTACCTCAGCTTTCATTCAATTCACAGTATTAATCAATCCCTTTTTCTGTGATCAAAAACAAGCTGTCTATTGTTTTCCAAAAGGAGTATAACACGAAATTCAAAGAATTCATATTTCGAACAGAAATAGTTATCAAGAATCAAACTATACGTTTTCGAAGCCTACAATAGACTAAAACTATAATGTCTCAGCAAAATATAACTTGTTGGTTTTGGAAGTGCTCGAATTTTTTTTTTTTCGAAAAATGAATTTTTTTACCGTGCCTCGTATTCACCCTGATTTACTATAGTTTATGTGATCATAACTAGACATGTATTTGAGTTCCGATCAACACATTTTCTAGCTTATTTTGTCTTATTTATATACTAAAGAAACCGTTTTCTTCTTCGCCAATCCTACCCCGATACGAAGTTTTTACGAACTTTGTCGGCTTATATCTCATCAGAAACTAAACATACAGAACTCTTCAAACTCACATATTTTTCTAATGAGCCATCCCACAATAATATAGTGAAATTTCAGCCAATTCGACCGAGAGCCAATTTACCGTGTTTTCGTGCGGGGTCCTTTATCAGACTCAATTTATATAACGAATATTGGACTTCGATATGATGTAATGACTAGAAACAATGATGGGATTAACCTCTGCCACAAAAAAGAACGTTGGTATAGGAAATGCGATATACAGGTTGTTATCACGAAATTCGACCAGAAACGACGCTTCAAAAGTGATAGGTCTCGTGAATCTCTCAAGAATCAGATGAGATCATACAATCAAGTGGTTCTGGTACATCTCATCGTTATACGGGGAGTTGAGATTGAAAAATCAAAATTGTTCTATAGGGATAGCAAAGAAATCAATAGCTGAGTTTTTCTCAGACAATTTTAGTATATGTATATGTTTGTCTCTTCAAAATTCGTCATTTTTTAAGCGACACAGGGAGTTGTTGTAACTTTTTCCATGATATTCTCTACACTCAGTGGGAGAAACGAATATACTCGCGAGTATACTTCTAATTTGCACAATAATTTCTCATCATTTTCAGCAATTTCAAAATGTTTGTTTTGTCTTTCTGCATGGAACAACGAGGTATATATGTATTTTCTATTCAGTTACAAAATGAGAACTAAGTAGTATCTCATCTACCCAACAACAGAAAATATTCTTGTGATGATCTTTCATTGAAAATTATGAAAAATTCCTATGCAAGCTTTTTTATTGAAGGTGAAATTACCCTTTCAAAGATGAAACCACATACCGAATTCGAAAGATTCAACCATTCTTCTAGAACAATTTTTCAATTTTAGAAGATTCTTGCGTTATTACAAAAAAAAGTTTTTATTTCTCAACTTCAACAGTCTGTGTCTAAACTGTACTGAACTGAACTGAAATGAACTGAACGTATGTACCTTTCCACCTTAGTTATTATGAAATCTTGAGGCCAATCACTTGTATGAAGGTTCGAGGCTCAAGGTTGATATACTATCGGACAACAAATTCAAAAGTTAAAATGGAATAAGGCTATAACCCTTTTCTTCGAAAAAAAAATATAGTCTGTAGCAGATATGATATAAATCAATAAATCAATCAATGTTGTTGACGAAAGAACTATACAGGGTCACTGGTAATTCGACACATTCCTTTGAAAATGTGATAGGAAAGGTGGTTAGGAGTGAATTCAACCGTAATATGCATCATGCAAAAGTTGAAATTCAGTGAGATATTCAAATGTTTCTGTTTTTCTTCATGAGGTAGACTTCAAAGGTTTGAAAGTTAGTTTCCGGGAAATTTGCTGTACATTTTTATGATCTCATATTGGAAATTGAAAAAATTCAGAAATAATTCGATTCATAGATAAATAATTGTGAATACTCAACCGTATTTTTGTTTGTGAATTGTGGATTATAACACTTTCTTGAGGTTATTTTGAGGAAAATCTCTAAGACACATTCGTCAAAAATATGTTGAAACTTTCTTGAAGCAATAGCTATACAACTGGCAAACTATATTTTGACCTCTAGAGCCTACCTCTTGGAGAAAAAAATGAAAATTCAAATCCTAAAAACCATTAACTTTTGCATAATGCATATTAGCGTTTAATTCAGTCCTTACCATCTTCCCTATCACATCATCAAAGAAATGTATAGAATTAGCAATAACTCTGTATGTATATGAACAACGTATAGGTAATTTCCTCCAAAGTGATTGTTCCAAATCCATCTAGCTGTAGATTTCATTATTTTCAACGCTGCACCATTTCAAGTAGGTGCAAGATTTGGAATCTTGATTTCCAACTTTAATGCAGCGGCGATATAACAAATTTTACGAAATAATGTATTAGGTGACAACTTTTCTGAAGTAATAATCACGCCCTGATTATACATTTAGATTCAATATGTTCTATATGTTGTATACAGATCGCCACTAATATCGTGTATGAATCTGATTATTGAAGTTTCATCTTCAATCCATCCTTGTATATACATAATATATTATGATAGTAAAATATATTTTGGTAAGCCATATATCAATATACCTGAAGTCTCTAGATTTTCGGTACGCTTACTTCAGAAAACAAAAATTTTTCATCAAAAGTAATCGATTCTGTGATTCTCGATTCTACTCGATTTGCATACTTCTTCGACATTTTCATTATTTCCACATAACACATGTTCACAAACGGACTGTTTGCTCCCAGATCGTTTTTGTCTTTTTTTATAGTATGAGTAGAAAGCATGCATTCTTCGGTTCCATCGTGCTGTTGATTGATATATTACGCTTAGTGCACAACTAGTGTAATGCGTCCTGCTCTATCGCACCCTCGATCGCACCAAATAGTACGCGCAACGCTTCTCTGTCATTCATTTTATCGTTGCTTGCTCCGATTTTTTAATTTGAAGGATGGATTTTGCGAAACAATCCTATACTACTTGTTGTAGATTGTTTCAATGAATTAGTTTGATATACTTTGTATATAATTTGGAATTGAAGAAGGAGGCGTTGAGTTGTTAAGAAAAAGTGACATAAAATAAATAAAGATATAAAAGTCAGAAAATTTGGGAAATCATTTATTTTTGTAAGTAATAGAAATACTGAGTCTATTACATTTGGTCCTTCGCGTTCAAAAGACGAACTAGCACTGTGGACAGCAGTTTCGACGAATCGACAAAAGTTGACTTATGACCGACTCCTCCAGGAAAAGAGAAACAGCTGGAATAAATAGAAATCTTGACGAGAACTATTTGTGGCCCAAGAACTTTGGAGAACCTAGACATAATATGGATGACAATGCCAAAAAACCAGAAGGTGACATCCCTGATGGTAGAATCATCTCCGAAGCTCAAGTCATGGGCGACAACAGCTCATCTGTTTCCCGACATTCTATTCCAAATAGGTCGATCTTCAACGTATGAAAGTTACGTTGGAAGCCGAAAAAGCCAAGCAGGTTTTGTTGAATGAAGCCTTGCAAGAGAAATTGAAATTAATCGAATTAGAAAAAGCCTATCGTGAAGCTGAGATTCTAGATCAGGACGAGCGACGATCTCGAATCAGTAGTCGACATACAGACTGTTCCAGGCAGAGTGTGATAGATATTTGTCACCAGTCTGTAATAAATAAACAACCACCAAGACAAGCCGATGGAACATATGTGGCACAATGGAGATCAGTGTCCTTCCATATACGAGGATCATGTGATGATATCTTCTCGAGAGATGAA